CCCGGGGTTCCCGCTCCGGAGAGGCCGGGCGCTGCTGCGCTCGCCTTGGCCTCCCTGCTTGAGGAGCCGGGCATCCCGGTTCCCGAATGCCACCGCCGCTGTGCGCATGCCGGTGCCACCCCGAGAGTGAAAACATGCAACCTGTCATGGGGACAGAGTGCCAGTGCCTGAGCCGGGCGGTTATTCTGAGCCTGGCAAGCTTTTCCTTGTACACAAATTGCTTTTTTTTTCTCCCCCTTCTGACCCAGATCCTGCAGATTAGGTTTCCATGATTTCCTTAAGGAAGGAGCACAGAGAGGCGCTCGGGAATGTGCCCTCCTGGAGCAGCTTACAGCCAGTGGTCCGTGGATGATCCGGCCTGCGAGGAGAAGGGCTTACGAGGCCTGCCCAGGCGATGGAGGTTAAGCCTGAGTGGATAGGCCAGGAAATGATAGTGAGGGAGGTCTGCTCCATAGGAAAAGCTAAGGCGTTATTTAAGGGGTCATGGCCAATCAATGTAACAGTTTGTCTGAAATCCTTCCCAATTATTTTCTTGTGAGAAATTGGACACTGATCTTGGATCATCTTGTACCTGCAGCCTGTGCCTAGTTTTCCAAGAAGATTGGCCACTACAATTTCAAATATTCTTCAGCACCACCAGTACATAAAAAGTTTTTAGTCACATGGCCCAGTTTATTTGCCTGCAGACATCAACATTGTAGAGACTTTATTTAAAGTTTTGCAGTGTTTTGTCTTGGTAGAAACCTTCTGAAATAATTTGTTTTACAGTATCTTGTATTCCCAAAGCTAAATGCCATACCTATCTTAGCTCACAGTTTTGAAGCTTCTGAACTACCTTTCTGCCTAGAAAGTGGAGAAACGGAGAAAACGTGGCCGATTACTGAGACTGCAAGTTTAGACAAATCCTGATTCCAGTCATCTGAATTGGAGAACTTACATTTATTTTAATAAAAGTGGATTTCTCCCTTATTTCTTAGGTTTCCAAAGCAGAAAAATGGATCCATGCTCACTGTTTGATAAATGTTCTTGCCATCAATAACCAGTGATCAATCCTCCAAGGAGAAAGTCCTTCCGATGTTCTTATAAAACAGTAAAAAACAAAGTAAGGGCCCGGTTCTCTTCCCAGAGAAGCTCAGGAATTTTAGATTAAGTATTCCAGTTTGATCTAAGAAATGTAGCTACTTACCGTGCATCGACAGGGGAGCTGGAGGAGTAGCAGCTTAAATGCTTTGTCTGGGCCCAAAAGTGGAACGGCTTAAACATCAGTTTCACAATATCTAAACTTCCTGGTTTGCAAGGTCCAATCTTGGCAGAGTCCCGTCGGCCTTTAAGCTTTGTGCCTTTTGTGCAGTTTTCTAGGTGAGACCTTCCTGCGGTGAATGGTGAATTCACTGAAATGCACCCTTGGTCTGTGCAGGGATCAAGTAATTCCTGGTCGTTTCGGTAGCCGCAGAGATCTGCCTTATTGTTCAAAAGAAGAAAAAAAAAAAAAGAAAATCTTCTGCAGTTGTGCCAAGTACCTGCTGGCTCACACAGAAAGTTTCTGCCTCTCAGGCTTCTTTGTTCAGATCTACTTAGTGAAGTAGTGGCAAGTTGTATATTGGTATAAAGCACCGTTCCTAAATGGGAAGCCAAATGAAAGGCCTTTTGTTTAAATTTCTGAGGAAAGATTTGTAGCAAAGTGGTGAAACTTAGAGAACACCTCGCTGAACAAAGAGCAGGAGGGCGTGAGTGGGGGCAGGAAGGCTAAAGAGAGCTCCTGGATAATCACAGCAAAGGGAAATTTCCTGTCTAAGGTGATATGCTGTCTCTAATCTGATTAGGAATAAACAAACCGGGCGTTGTCATGGATAAGTCTGTAGTCAGCAACAAGCGGAATTATACCAGGGATGTATGGCACGGGTAATAGTCTGAATTTCAGTGAGTTTACCTGCCTAGGAGACCCCAGACATTTCTGATGTTATCAGTTGTGAGCCAGGTTTACGACCTCCAGGAAGTTTTTGGTAGATTAAAGCAGGAGTGTTGGGCAGAAGGTCCAAGGTCCAGACTAGGTTGAAGTGTGAGAATCAGCTCAACTTTCTCAATTCCACTATCTATTCTGCCTAACTTAGCCTGCCTGGGAACTAATACATACATAGTCAAGCTATTTAATGC